ACGATGAATGCCGAAACCAACCCCGTAATTGATCTTGGACAGATTCTTTTAGTGAGACTAAAAGTGCTCCACTTTAGCATACTTAAGGGACTAAATATGCTCAAGGTTATATTTGAGGAATCAAAATACACCTACCCACAAAGATAAGGGACAATATTGATCAAAAACTCTATCTAAACTGCCATGGCTTCCAAAAGTAGGACTAACCATTTTGTGGGTTGTGATTTAGACATTTGGTTCAAATTTTTGTGCTGATTGCTTTAAGACAAGTGTGTTGGCTTCCACCAGAACATCCAATCATAAAATAGTCAGTATATTGTTGATTTGTAAGAATTTTTTCCAAAGTCAGGCTACTTTATAGTAGATAAGTTTAATTTTCTTTGATTTCTTTTGCTTTATGGGAAATCTTGAGAACCAAGATTTAATGGTGTCATTTGAAGATGATCTCAATGTCCACTTTGAGAGGGGGAAAATAATGAAAATCTTCTCCATCCCACAAACAATAGTAGAACTTTATTCCAAGATATGCTTGAAAATCATGAGAAAGTAGATATTCATAATTTGTTTGTGTCTAAATTTTGATGGATAGAGTCCCGATACTTGTGTGATGTAGATAATAGATATTCGGCAAAATTTGTATTGTAAAGGTAGCAGATACTAAAAGAAATAATTGAGATGCGCGCAACTTGACACTGTGATGTCAAGAAAAAGGAGAGCTAGTAGGTTTGACATAATAGTGTCAGGTGTTTGCCATAATTATATTATCATATTTGGTTTTTCTATTTGTTGAAGGAAAGAGCAATATAATTACCTTAATTGAGTTTTCCTTTTTGTAGAAGGAAATTATAATTCTCCTATACTTGGCTAGTCCTTTTTCTTGTAGGAAAAAGTTTGGAGTTCTATAAATTGAAGGTTCGTCCTTCTCATTCAGTAGCATCCACAATGTAGCCATAGGGGATTGAGAGTAGTATTTAGGGGGAGAACTTTTCGGGACAAGTGTTAGTGCGTCACTTGTGTTTGCCTCTTCGTGAGGTTGTTCTCTCGATGTTTTGTACTCTTTTTTATATAGTGGATTGCTCATCTCCGCGGTGGACGTAGGTCAGTTGACCGAACCACGTTAAATGTTTGTGTCTCTTTTGGTATATTTCTCCTTTGTTGTATGATTTATCGTCGCTCAAGGTTTGCTTAGATAGCTTTCGTATGACACCTGATTTTTACGTTTCTAACAAATAGTGCATATTGAAGATATTTCTTAACAATTATTTTGTTATTTAAATTAGTTAATCTAAGTGATCACCCCGTCATCGGCGGCTAGTGCTCACCCTGACCAGGAAACAAGATTTTGCACTAATGCATGTTTGCTCTTCATATACAAGTCTTCTAACAATTGGTAAACTTGTCTTCATTTGAAAAGTTGAATCACTTTATGAGCACATGATTAAATTGAGATAGTATTTTTTTTATCCTTTGGCTGACTTAAAGGTCAATCTCTAATGACTGCTAGTTTCTTCTTTGTTTCTTTTTCGACTGTTGTTCGGGTCAATTTAAGCATAGTTCGATTATTCTATCGAGTACCCTACATCCAACCAATACAGTTACAGAGTAACTCCGTCCATCGAAACTTTAAAAATTACCTTGTATTCTTTGTCTCTGTTACAAAATAAAACCTAATCTCCATGATTTTCGTCCCACTTTATTGACCTGGCTACACCCTTGGATACCTCTTACACTGCTACTTAGCACAAGCCATGAGCTAGACCATAGGAAATATTAGTCGATATACCCTAAAATACCCTAAAATGGAATTGTTTTGTTCTCTTCTTGGCTAGGAAAATTATAATAATTACAATAAAAAAATTGGAAACTCTGCTCATGCGAGCTTGAAGAACATTGTCAATTCCAAGCTGACATAAAGATGAGTATTGCAGTAAGTTGACAGCCAGCGTAAAAATGTTCAGTGTGATAAATGTTCTCAAATTAACATGAATATAGTAGAATGGATACATACTCCATCTAGTTTAAGATTAAAGTAATTAATTTTTTTTTTATATATTTTTTTTTTGAGAATATACCTTGCCTTGGTGGATGAGACTGCAAATGTGATATATCATTTCCAAGTTTATGGATGGGACCCTTTTATGGAATCAAACTGCAGTGATAGGTGCATATGAATAGATACATGTTTTAGGGGCCACTTGTACTATATTCTTATTTATTTTCATATAAAAAAACTCATTTATGTGCAACACTTTGAGTGTAGTATGTGGAAGAACCACTCGTTTTGTGGATGTCAAACAGAATAAATTCCAAATGTTTTAGATTATATAAAAGAATTATCACTAAGGATTTGCTTTCATCCGTTTAAATCTTGGCGAGAGAGTTATTTGGTACATGTGCCGATGGTAGTCGGTAGAAAACAAGTAACAATAACAACAATCCAGCATAATTCTACTAGTGGGGTTTGGGGAGGGTAGTGTGTACGCAGACTTTACCCCTACTTTAGGATAGAGAGGCTGTTTCTGATAGACCCTCGGCTCTCTCCCTCCAAAAACTCCCCACCTTGCTCTTGGGGCGACTCGAACTCACAACCTCTTAGTTGGAAGGGGAGGGTGCTCACCACTTGAGCAACCCACTCTTGTCTGGTAGAAAACAAGTACTCGATGGAACAGTCGAGGCACGCCCAAGTTGTATGGACACCAAAACTATAAAATAAAAAAATCTAAAGAAATTACCCCTAATTGTGCACAGGGACGGATCCAGCAAGAGTGAAGCGGTGTCGCGTGACACCGCTTCGTCATAAATTTTTGTTAAATGTATATATAAATAATTTGCAAAATACCATATAAGTTACATAAATTATTAAGTGTGACACCACTTTCCATCAGCGCTTCTTGGCCAATTGGTATAGCGCTTGATTTCTTTAGGGAAGGTCACGAGTTCGAACTTTTTTGGAAAGTGTTTCATTCAGTGGTTAAACACTTTTGGCTTTTGTTGTTTCTTTTTAATTTTGGGTCAATTAAGTTATTTTGTTACTTTTTTATTCTTTAATTCTTTTACTTTTTTGTTAGAACTTTTTAAAATAGTTTTACTTTATAAGTGTACTCTATAAATTATTCGGGGTTCTCAAATAGATACTTTTATTTATAATTCAACTTAAATTTTAATAAATTATGTTAAAGCATCTATCAAACTTTCAAAATCAAGTTCAGAATCTCAAAATTCATCTAACTTGAAAGAAACGGCCAATGGTCGAAGCAACATCGACAAAGTAAAGGAATTAATTTAAATTCCTTAAAGGTTGACGCTGAAAGATTGACAACTCGGTTTTTTTTTTTTGGAGTACAGTGTAACCAAATATGTGATCTTTTGCTTCTATAGTTACTTGATTCAAAATGAATGCATTAACTAAGGGAAAGGAAATGTATTTTCAAGTATAAGATATACACCCGAGCGGATGCATCATGGTCGAAGCGCTGTCGAAAAGGTGTAATTTTTTTTCTTCTTTAAATGTGACACCGCTTACAAAAAATTCTGCGTACGCCACTGATTGTGCAGAGCACAAAACAACAACAACAATAACGACAGCAACAACAACAACAACAAATCTAATGAAATCGCACACGTGGGATCTAGGAAGGGTAATATATACGCGGATCTTATCCCTACCTTAGGAAGGAGGAGGAGATATTTCCGATAGACTCTGTGCAGAGCACTAAAGTACTTTCCAAATTTATATAAGAAAATCATCTATTTCTTGACTAAATTCAAGAATGACTTTTACCTTCCAACCCCAATGAGATTTTGAAAACTCAAGAAAATAGAGATTGAGAAATATCTAGTGAAGTTAGGTTTCAGCAAAATTGTCCCAATAAACAGTTGCACTATTGGTTTTCAATTACATGACAAGGTAATAACTGAAAGGTAAGTTAGGCTTATCTGATCAGTGCTCACCACCTTTGATGACAATCTTTTGAGGTTGATTGATTATCAGACAACTTATGTTTATGGGAATCTTGTCAAAAGACAAGTGAGAAAGTAAGATATTTGTATATACCTAAAGCAAAAGGGTAAAAAAGTGTACCTCTTTTCTATCCTAACTATATCTTAATTTTACGCTACTTATATACCCTTATTGTTAGCAAATCGTCTCGTATTTGTACTTGAGCCTAACAAAGTTACACCTAAAGTATAACAAAGGTTAAATTTTATACCATAGTCAAAAGTAGAGCGTAAATTTGAACCATTTTCCTGAATTAATTTGACACGTAGAATCCATCCAATCCACGTTAGAACTCCGTTAAAGTCAAGAACATCAAATACGAGGTGATTGGCTAACGGCAAGAAATATGAATTGCCCTAAAATATAATGGATGATAACAACAACAACAATAACAATGGCCCAGTAAAATCTCACAAAGTGGGATCTGAGGAGGGTAGTGTGTATGCAGACCTTACCTCTATCCCGATAGGGCAAAGATGTTGTTTCCGATAGACCATCGGCTCAGAAATATAACAGATGATAAACTTAAGATATTTTGTATAGTAGAGTAGTAAATTGTGACTTTTTCCTGTAACCTATGTATAGTTTTCAGATGCTATTCCAAAGAGAAAACTATGATTGAATCCTATGCTAAAAAAGATGAAGATGAAAGAGTGGGCTGAGGGACCTGGAATTATTGCCTTTTCTTTTTCTTTTTGTATGATATAAAATCTCAGTGGCAAGTTATGAGCAAGTCACATCATTGAAAAAGTGTAAATAAAGTAATCATGTTATATTGATCACTTACTTGATCTCAAAAGCACTACACATTTTAGCAGTCTCCTAAGCATTATTGGTACTGTCCTTATCAAATCTCAATTAAAATCCAAAATAAACATACCTTTTAACCTTTTTCATTTTTTCCTGATACAATGTTTTTCATCTTTGTTTGTATATATAAAGCTTAGGGGGCGGTCTTTACTGGATCCTGCATGAATACAGAATACTTTGTGTACCGAGCTGTCCTATATATAATGCTATAATGTTTAGGGTTTATAAACCCTAAACCCTAAACTCTAAGGTATCCTGATACAATGTTTGTTATCTTTATTTGTATATATAAAGCTTAGGGTGCGGTTCTTTTCCTGATCCTGCATGAATACAGGATATCTTGTGAACCGAGCTGCCCTATATATAATGCTATAGCCTTATAATCTTTCTCATTAAACCTTTTAACAAACTGAGTTTTAAGAGTTTTTGGTTCAATGGGGATCCCTGAGTCTCCTAGTCCACCTCATTTGTATCCTCAAGCACTTCAACTTAAACTTTATCAAGCTTTCATCTTCTCAATTCCAATACTTTTTTCTATAATTTTGTTTCTTTTGTTTTACTTGTTTTATCTCAAAAGAAGGGCTTCTATTGGTTCTATTTCCCCTGCAACAACAATTACAAGGAGTTCAACTCATGCTATTATTCATGTCAGTAAATATCTCCTAGCTGATTAGTCTATGTTTAAATTTCATAATATTTCAAGAACCATAGTATACAAACTAAAAAAATTGGTAGTTTGCTAATAGTTTTTTTATTTTATTTTGCAGGGTGAGGTAGATATAAAGGGGATGCTCAAGAACAAGCTTCCTGTAGTAATATTTGATGAAGATTCAATGATGAGAGATTCCCAGTAAGTTAACTTTTGTTTGTGCTACTGGACAAATCCATAGTCTTTATACAAAAAATTTGACAGGTCTAATTCAAGAGTTTGACGGGAGCCTTGGTGTAATTGGTAAAGTTGTTTTCATGTGATCAGGAGGTTACAGGTTCGAGCCGCGAAAACAGCTTCTTGCAGAAATGCAGAGTAAGACTGTTTATAATAGATCCTTGTGGTCCGGCCTTTTTCCGTACCCAGCGCATAGCAGGAGCTTAGTGCACCGGCTGCCCTTTTTTAATTCAAGAGTTTTAATGGGAGCCTTGGTGTAATTGGTAAAGTTGTTGCCATGTAACCAGGAGGTTACGGGTTCGAGCCGTGTAAACAGCCTCTTGCAGAAATGCACATTCTGGTTCGGTCCTTCCCCGGACCCGTGCATAGCAGGAGCTTAGTGTACCCGGCTGCCCTTTTTTTAATTTTAAGAGTTCCATTTCATCCTTAAAACTTTAGACAAGTCCTTATAACTTTTTATCTACTTCATATCTTAGTTCAGGACTATAATTTTAGAATATAGACAAACTAAATGCTGCCAAAAGTTACAGATAAAAGGGTGCCTGGATTCTGATAATGATTTTTAGCTAACATGTGGTTCAAAAATTTGAAGAGGAGTCTTGGCGTAACTGGTAAAATTGTTGTCATGTGACCAAGAGGTCGCGGGTTCGAGCTGTAAAAGCAACCTCTTGCAGAAATGCAGTCTAAGACTGCGTACAATAGATCCCTGTAGTCCGGCCCTTCCCCGAACCCTGCGCGTAGCAGGAGCTTAGTGCATCGGGCTGCCCTTTTATGTGGTTCAAAGACTTCATTATTTGAACATACTACAGCATTATAAGGGTGAATTTAAGGCAATTTTTTGTCAATATAGTACTTACAATTATGAGATATTTTGTCACAGGTGTTGTGTTTGCTTGGGAGAATTTGAGATCAAAGAAGAGTTGCATCAGTTACCTTCTTGTAAACACATTTTCCATGTCGAATGCATACGCCATTGGCTTCGTTCGAATTTCTCTTGTCCTCTCTGTAGATGTCATGTTATTATTACAAGACAAAATCCGCAACCTCAACAGCAACCAGCTTCTAATCTTGAACATAACAATCAAGTCAGATTAGATATTGAAGAGGAAAGTGAACAACGCGATAGAACGATTAACACAGCCAATATTAGCAGAGAAGAGCAACATGTGGTGATAATCGAAGAATTTTCTAGTGCTAGTTCATCCTCTGGCACTACTGAAAATAGTGAAAGAGATTCTTCTCATGTAGAAACTCTTGTTATCAGTATTAAGGCCTAATTTTGCTGCATTTCTTGAATTGTATATTTAGCATTGGGAGTTCAGGAATGATAGATTAGCAGAGAAGTTTAGGGGATACCATTTTATACACATCAGAATCTGATTATTAGATGGAACTTTGCAAAATCATGCTTTTATTTACTTCTCAGTAAAAAGAAGAAAAAAAATAGCACACAAAAGTGTTACATATATATTATACAGTATAAGATATGACATTACTGTATGGATCAAAATCCACTCTAGAATATTTGAAATAAAATAATACTAAGGAAAGGGTTTTCGTGCCGTGGGTAGAGGTCGGGGTGCCAGTCATGGTCGAGCTCAAGCATCGTCAATGAAGCTGTAACGGTTAGTTTTCAAAATAGGGTATTAAAGGAAATATTCCGTGGATATTCTCTGTCCATGTACTATTAGGGTTTACTAGGAATGTGTCTCATATAAATAGAAGAAACAGTGAGAATAGAGGCACGTGAGATTCAATTGTAAGAAAACACTTTGAAAAAAAAAATTCATTCTTCACTCAATACAAGACTTTACTTTTTCATTAAGATTCTCAATCCTCAATCGTTTGAGGTTCTGTTGTTCAATCATTGTCAGATGGAAGATTCTTTTGTTTCACCTTTTGCTTATTAAATTATTCCTCTTAATTACATGAGTGTCATTATATTATTCTTAACTAAGATTAATCAATGTCTAACTGAAATTAATTACCTGAACCAAGGTTTATGTTTTTGGGTCAAACAATTACATATAACAATTTTTTTGTTTTGTTTTGGCAAGACATATGACAGTCAGTCTTTTTTTTAAGCGAAAGAAAAAGAATATTGGAAATTGAAAATGGAAAAAAAAATTGTCGGAAACTCAATTTTTCGTTTTGACATGAACTTCAGTGATGGAAATATTGAATTAATTATTTCGTATGAATATTAGCCCTGGAATCAATAAATCCAATATGTAGTAGATCTTTCTAGAATGAGTCTGTTAATTTTACGAAAATCTCCAAAATATAGGTAGACCTTTTTGAATAATTCAAAATAGTAACCTAATTTGTTCCGGATTTAGTATTTACTAGTTTATCTAATTCATATCTAAATAAAATTTATAGCCAAATTGAATTTCCTAATTCTACTTAAAGCGGGTTTTATACTATTATAAATAAAGGTGCTGCTACCTATTTTTTATGCGAAAATTCATAATTTTATTCCTACAAACAACATGGAGCGGCGGATGTACATGGATACTTATGGTTGCTTGAGCACCCATTACTTTTAACCGGATTTAGTAAATTTGCATAGGCAATTATAAAAATAGTTAGATAAATATGGAGTGAGCACCCATAACTAAACTTTTTTTTCCTCTTCTTTCAGCTACAGTTGTACTTCGATATATGTTTACACCAGTTGAATTGAAAGAGGATGAGAATTTATGTTCTGAGATAAAGGAAGATGTTCGAGAGGAGTGTTTAAAGTTTGGGCCCGTGGGATTAGTCAAGGTGTGCGAAAATCACTCACAGGGTGTTGTTTTGGTTAAATTTAAGGATCGAAGGGATGCTCGTAGGTGGATTGAGGCGATGAATGGACGATGGTTTGCTGGTAGGCAAATTCATGCTAGTGAGGATGATGGAAGTGTTAATCATGCTTTAGTTCGAGATTTAGATGAAGAAACTGATAGATTGGAGAAGTTGGGAGCTGAACTTGAAGCTAGTTCATCGACATTGGCGGACCCAGAATTTTGTGCAGACGACAGCACAGCATAGTGGCAGACCCAAAATTTTGTGCAGACGACAGCAACTACAACCACTAGTAAGTGCAGCAATCAAACTCTTTTTTTTTTGTTCATAGCTGATAGCAGGGCCTCAAAACAACATCATTTTGAATTATTTTTTTCTTTCTAGAATGATTATCTGCTATAACATAGTTCACATTTACAAGCAATATATGAAACAATGTAGCAAATTACGTAAATAGCTTGCTTGTTTAACAAACCACTATAAACTAACTAAACAATAAACCAGTTTAAAACTAAATAAAATTTTGGTTCATAATTGTAGATCCGCCTCTGTTCATAGACAGGGGCGAAGGCACACTTGGGTTAGGGTGGTCACCTGACCACCCTTTGACCATCCTTTGTCGGAAAATTACACTGTTTATATAGGTAAACTATTAGATTTTAGAGGTACATAACATGTATTGAACACCCTTTGTCGGATTATTTTTTTTACTTATTTCAAGTTTGAACACCCTTAAGAAAATTCCTGGCTTCGCCACTGTTCATAGATGTGCTTTTCCATGTGTAAATAGTAGCAACACCAATTTTTGCTTGCTATTCAATCGATATGTGTATGCACTTTTTGAATAGAAATCAAAAAGAGCTCAACTTGTCGCACGCCAACTAGATGCAAAATCTATTTACGTATTAATTAGAGAAACTAGGAAATATCAATTCCTGAACAGTTTTATGTTTTCTGCAACAACTTTTAATTATTCTTCAACATAACTGATTCAAATACAGTAGAATATAAAGAAATACAACAATATACATTCTATGAGATCTCCATGATCCTTTTATTTCTGAAATATCAACTAAATCTAATATTGGCTTATTCAACTAAACCTAAGTAGTAATAAGACTACAAGAACACTAATTCTCTGTGGATACTCTATTGCTAAGCTAGTGAATACAATCACCAAAAATCCGAAGTAAACAACAACAGCAATAACAACAAACTCAGTATAATCTCATAAGTCGAGTTTGGGGAGGGTAATATGTACGCAGACCTTACCCTTAGCTAGAAAATACAGAGGTTGTTTCCGATAGATCCTCGGCTCAAAGGTCCAAAGGAAAAAAAAGAAGAAAAAACTTCTTTGTTGTTACACACTTCTTAGAATAAAAGCAAATGCCATATAGAGAATACCAACAACAAATGTGGAGATAATAGTGACCTTTGTAGGCATTCTTCCTTTATCAGCTCTCAAAACCATAGCTTCATAAATTGGCAAACAATTTATTACTACAAAACCAGCAATAAACATTTGGATTAAGAGACCATCCAAGCTTTGATCACCCTTGAAAATATCTACTAATGCTTTGACAAATGCTACTAAATTGATTATTGCTGCTGTTGCTAACATAACGAACATAGGCGAAACAACCCCAAACTCGAAAATTCCTTGATAATACCTTTTACCTTGGTCATCATCCACTACTTTGCTTGTCAAACTAAACCCTTGTGTAGCCATGCCTAAGTGTTTAGTTACATACTCAATTGTTCCAAATAGAAAAGATGTTAATCCCCTTATCATCCATATTCTTTGGTCATTCCACCACCTTTTCCATGTCCCTTTAGCGGACATAAATACCAAAAAATCTTGCCCGTACGCTCCAAGAAATAGAAAAACGTACAAGAAAAACCAGGGATCTGAAACCTGCAGCCAATGTTTTAAAAGAAATGCGATTTTAGATGATCATATGTTATATCTATAAGCAATGGGAGGCAGGATTTGCACTAAGGAAGTTCAAAAAATAAAAAAAGGACTGTGACTAGTAGGAATCGAACAAGTGACCTCACAAAGATTGAACCCCCTTGACTATAGAATTATGCCTTCAAGTTATGTCAAGGGGATTCAAAATATAATATATAAAGATATAAAACAGATTTTGCCTTATATATAGAGTGTAATTTTTTGGCGAAGGGGGTTCGGGTGAACCCTCTTCCGCCCTCCTAAATCCGCCCCTATCTATAAGGAACAACAACAAAAACAAACAACAATATACACAGTGTAGTCCACAAGTGGGATCTGGGGAGGGTAGAGTGTACGCAAACCTTATCTATGCCTTTAAGAAGGCAAAGAGGCTGTTTTAGGTAGACCCCCGGCTCAGGAAGAAAAAAGGAGAGAGGCAATAACAAGCAAACCAATCTGACAACCGAAGCAAAAAGACAAAACCAACACTAAGGAATGCAATCAGAAAACCGAAACAAACACAACAACAAGTAATAACAGAAGTTTAGGGATGCGAAAGACACTAAGGGGTCGTTTGATATGAGGTATAAGAAGGTATAAGAGTGGTATAAAAATTTAATACCACCTTAATACTCGGTTTGGTTAGCAAACCATGTATAAGTTATCCTGGTGTTAATTTTAATACTGGGATAACTTATACCTTATAGAAGGTGGGGTAATTAGCACCGGTATAACTTATACTTTCTTTTTAGAAATTATGCACTTGTCATTCTTAATACAACATACCAAACAATGAATAAACAACAATCACATCATAACTAATCCCAGCATAACTTATCCCAATATAACTTATACCGGCATAACTTATACCGGTATAAATCGTATTCCAACCAAACGACCCCTAAGTGATGTATCAAGAACTAAAGTTACTATTCACTATGTGTTTTTGCTTGCTATATTTTGTACATAACTTAAATTGGTGCATACCTTTGGAAAGATGGGAACCCCATTGAGGAGAGCAAGTTGAGGAATGAAGGCATATAGAGAAATTGGTATTGACCAAATGGGCCAAAATGCATAATGAGCATAACAATGGGCCATAACAAAGCCCATGGACGGAACACCGAAAGTTAATGGGCTATATTTTGAGAAACCAACTTCAAGTAGGCCCACAGACCACCTCTTGTTTTGGCTGACCACATCATGAAGAGAAATAGGTACATCTCCTAAAAATGCAGGCCTTTTAGGATTGCAAAACACAGACTTCCAACCTTCACATTGAAGTCTATAACCTGTGTAGTAATCCTCCACTAGTGATCCATACCTAAAGCCCATCTGCATAATTTTGACAGAAATGTATATTTTTAGCTGCTCCAAAAAAATAGCCGTTAAAATATGTATTTTTGTATATGTATGTATGCTATATACGTATTTTATATACTTTTTGACTAGCAAAATACAGTTAGTTTCGATCGACTAGCCAATTTTATATTTTGACCTAATTTTGGAATATGTCGGCTTGTCGCAAGGAGATTTAAAAATATATAACATATATGGCAAGTTCGAATGATTGCCACGAAAAAAAAATTGTTGTTGCAGTTATACTCCACATTCACTGACTTGTGCTCTTGTTGCTTCGGCTCTAGCAACTTTTTTCGTGGCAACAAAATCTTACA